TGGTCTCCCAGGTCAGATGGTAAGAGTACGGCTCTGACGAACTCTGAAAACCTGATTCTGTCCCCAGCGGGGCAGGCACGAAGTATGTGCTCTGCTGTTTCAACATTCTCCAAACAGAGGCGACCACACTGTCTTCCTACAGTCCAAGTCTCTGCATATGATGATTCAAATGACAGTGACCTGTAAGAAGGCCTGTTAGACATCGTGGTTCATCCCCACTATAGTCCAACAACTGTTTGGTCAAGCTTCGAAGGGTGAATATACGCCTTGGAGTGAGCCATTCCTGGAAGAGTCTGCCAGAAGTCCATAAATATTCTTGCCATCCAGGTGTTCAATCTTTGTTTGGCAAAGCCTATAGCGAAGCCAATGACAGGTTCTGGTCCGATGAAGCTGCTTGCAGCACCCTCTTCTGCATGGGAGTCAGCAGACTCATTGCCTTCCAGGCCAGTATGGCCAGAAATCCAGACCAGAGACAATTTAGACGTCGTTGCTCTGTAGTACCCAGAAGCTTCCAACGCCGCTTGACTGTCCAAGAATATTTTTATTGACTTGTGTATGAGGTTGGATTATTTTCCGCACAGTAAAGTAAAAAAAGTAACTTGGCAAGTATTTTTGTAAGAAATACTGACTTTTGATTAAAATTATTGACGATTTTAACATTTTTTAAAGAAAGAAATAACAAAGACGGAGGGCAAAAACAAAGACAAACTACGTACTATGTTACTTCGTAAAATGAAATGAAAATTAATTGTTACATAACCCTGAAGAAGCATTCAATTAAAATCGAAACGTTGGCAAAAAACACTCGTTCAAAAAGATGATCCTGTTACTCAAATAAACCTTCTATAAAAATAATTTGTTTGTTCGCAATATTTTTTATTCCACCTCAGGTAAATATTTCGGTTCTATGATTTTTCTCTCCCTCCTTTATTAGGTTTCAAATCAAATATTTTCAGACAATGGCAGTAAAGAAATGGCATAAGAAACATTGTCACTCAATTTGAAAAAACTCGTGTGGAATAAAGTTCATTCTTAGGAATTATCGGGCGTTGTACTTTCAAAACACCATAATTATTTTAATTGTAATTTCAGGGTCTACTTATGCAGTATTGAACCTACCCTATAATCAATGACCATTTCGCGAAAACTAGAATCTCGAATTGGAGGTCGACCGATTCACCAGAAATCAACCATATTCACCCGAATTACTTTTCCATAAGGCCATCTCCGAAGAGGAAACTGCGTTAAAGAATTCCACCTGTTCGAAGGTAATATCCGCCCAGTGCAAACAAAAATAACAAAACACAACAAAGTCGTTGGTATTTCGTGCATACCAATAAACATAATTTTTTATTGCGAAACCGGTCCTGCCTTTCACCGAGCGGAATAATGTCCGCTTTAACGCGGTATGAAAGTTTCGTTGTGCCCGAAATGTTTCACAACATTCCAGAAAGCAATTGCAGTTGGCACTTCAATTAAAATTCTGATTAAATTCAATTCTCACCTGTACCTACAGTTTTCATAGAGTTATGAATAATTTCATAGTCTGCTTCAATTACGGACTGAATGAACATTTGCAGGGATTTTTGACAGTGTTAAATTCAAGAAAAAATAGTTGAAATGTCAGGGTTTGTGGGGTAAAAGTCAAACCAGAAAAAAAGATGCAATCAAGAGTACTGCTAGTAGTAGTGTCGTATAATAATATCAAGTACTCTGAAGGCCATAGTTTTTTGGACTTTCTTTCTGACGTTTCGCTGGCGCTAGTGGCTACCTTCTTCAGAGGTTCATACATCCTGAGAAAAAGTATACAGTTTTTCAAATATTTTTGTCTGTAAAACTTCAAGTAGTTGGTTTTTGGTATAGTAATCTTCAAAACACAAATTGTTATCCATTAAAAAAACTTTGTATTTCATCTTTCCTCGAATTTTTATTCGGTACTCTGATGAGCTGTCGCGAGTGATAGGAAGCGTTGTCAAGAACTATTACACTATTCGCTTCCAGATTTGGGATCAATGTGTTTTCAAACCATTCTTCGAAAATATTATCTTCCATGTTCTGATGATAGTCAACATTGCAGTTCTCAAGTTTTTTTTCTACATAATCTCAAAGAATTCGTAACCCATCCTTAACTTCCTTCGCAATGCACAATAATTAGTCGCGACCCTTGGTTTGCAGGCATGTTACGCGTTCACATTCTCGAACTATCAGTCCACCCTTTCGTAACTGTATCGTAAATGTCATATCAAGTTTCGTCGAAGTTGAAAATTTGCCGTTGTTCTTGTCTATATTTAGTTATTTGTTCTAAGTATTTGTCATGCAATTCCACTATTCTTCTGCTTTCCATAACGGCTTGACGTTTGTTTATTATTCAAAATCTAAATCCTAGTTCCTTTATCCAATTCTGANGTAATTTTTTTGACAAGATTTTACTTTTTGATTATTGTTTGAGTTTTAATTACCTGAATTCAGGTTGAATTATGGATCATCAAGTAGGTATAAGGTCAAATGATTCAAATCTTTGTTATATAAAGCACAAATTAAGTAAAATTCGCAAAGTATGAACACGCCTGAGGTTTTGTAAACTGTCAAGTGAAAGTCTCACAATGAAGTGTGAACATTAAAATGAAATTTTCGAGACAACAACACCACCCAAAGATAAGAAACAAACGAATGGCTTCAACTATGATACTGATAAGGTGGTGTCTGTCCTTATCAATGACAGAAAAAATGAGAATGAAAAAATGGGGAATTATTTAGGTATTTTACTGTAACTCGTATTGAGTTCATCGACATCCTTCCTAGTGGTAACACTGTCCTGTTTGAGGATATGTATCATTACGCTCAAAAGTCTTTTGGATAAATGTGATTGAACAGATAGAATAGTCGGATGTTCAAAGTGAAAAATGTGTTCGTGTTCTCTTTCATGTTCAACAAGGACTGTGGTGTTTTCGATATTTAGTTTCTTAGAGTCTCTCATGAGTTCTGCAACTCGTGTTATAAGATATCGTCAGGTTTAACAAACATAACATTTTGAACAGTTTTCACAATTCGATTTGTACACTATATTGGATGATATGTCTGGCTATGTTTTAGTTCTCTGTTTTGAGAAAAAACAATTTCCAACTGTATTTTCATTTGAAAAGGCCACTTTATTATATTCGTTACTGACTAACATTCCAAATTTTCTAAATATGGTATTTCGTGACATTTGGTGTTGACTCTTGTATTGGGGGAAGATGAACTTCTTTGGGAAAGAAAATTTTTGGCTTTCTACTTCTCCATCTTGATACAAAAAAAAGATGTGGGAATCTTCCAAAGAAAGGAAGGGAGTAATCAATATGAAAATAAGTAACTCTATACATGGATGTGTAGATCATGCAAAGATCTACCACTCTGGAAACCTGATTCGGTCCTCAGCGGGGCAGGCACAAAGTATATGTTTTGCTGTTTCATCATTTTCCAAACAAAGACGACAGTCCGCGTCTCTGCGTATGATGATCTAGACGACAGTGAGGCCTGTAAGGAGGCCTGTTAGACATCGTAATTCATCCCTACTGTAGTCCAACAACTGTTTGATATCAAGCTTCGAAGGGTGAATGAACGAGTTGAAGTGAGCCAACCCTAAAAGATTCTGCCAGAATTCCTCAAATCTTCTTGCCATCCAGGTGTTCCATGTTTGTTTGGCAAAACCCAAACCGATGAAACTACTTGCAGCACCATCCATTACGAGGGAGTCATCAGCCGCATTTCCTTCCAGGCAAGTGTGACCAGGAATCCAGACCAGAGAAAATGTGTTGTCTTCCAATCAAAGAGAGTCGTTTTTAGCAATTTGCTACCAATTTAGATGTTGCTCGGTAGGAGCCAAAATCTTCCAACGCCTCTTGACTGTCCGGGAAAATTTTTATTGATTTGTGTGTGAGGTTGGATTCTACCAATCTCTCCGCACATAATGCAATAAATTTTCGCTTGAAATACAGTCGAATAGGTCCCTAAGCAGGTTGATATCTCTGTCCTGGGTCTGCAACTGAAAACACCTGCACCAGAACCCGAAGGTGTTTTTGAACCGTCTGTTAACCAACAGCTATCTGCTATTAATGTTTCCTTCTCCCGGAGAATCCAATCCTCTCTACTCGGGAAAAGTACTGTATGAGGCAGTACATAGTTGACAGTTGGAGGCATAATATCAGAGGTCATTCCCAGAATGTTGCGACTTCCAGTGTCGGCCAGCAGGCTAGCGTACTCTGGATGAGGTTGCTTTGTGCAGTTGGCGAAGTGAAGGGTGTAGTTCTAGGAGGATCTCCATGGCCGCTGACGGTGTAGTACTGATGGCACTATAGATAGGCAGACAAGCCTGGAGTGTCCATAATAAATTGTAGCAAATGCTCAAATCTTTCAATGTCGTTGTGCCAACCAAACAAGGTAAGGTGATTGCATTAGTATCTTTGGCAATTATCCTGCGATCCTTCTTTTCTACAGGCCCTCACTAGCTCAACCTTAGTTAGTGGTTCGAGTCTAACTTGAAGAGGGTGTTCTGTTCCAAAGATACTTGCCTCAGGTTCTGCCTCATTGGTCTTCTTCAATTTGACGGACGTCAAGTCTCTGGTACAGATGTGTCTCGACGATACACACAACCTCTTTAGTTTATCATTATTACATATGTTTTTGAGGTTTTGATAAAGGTCAACTCTTCCCAGTCCCATAATTTGATTTTCCCTTGGACATTCATGATTCTTATATGAGAGCAATGTTGAACTTTTTTATAATCGATGTTGGTTGTAATACTCTTATCGCGAATCAGAGAGATCTCCTATTTCAGTTCCCACTAGCACGGAGGAAAGGGGGCTCTACATACATGATTGATGCATCGTGGATGCCAGACTAAGTACTCTGGGAGGTCCAGAAGCAAGTAATTTTCTCCTTCAGTACCATGTTGTCAAGCATCAGAAATTTTCCTTCTTTGAGGTTACGGATCCCCACCCAAACAATCAAATATTAAAAAATATTGTGTGGAAATAATACCATTTATTCAACAGTATTGCACATACAAAAATGTAGAGGGGAATCAGCTAGTGATCAGAACTATATACAATCATATTTCTTTCAATGAACTTTTGATCACACAATTTTTTCATCTCGCAGTATAAATTGAAAATTCATCATCAGGGTTTAATCCATATATACATAAATTAAATATAGCGAGAATAATTTTTGTCAACAATGAATATGCCAGACTACGTGAGGTTGGCAGCTGATCCTTTTTCGTCTTCACTCCTCTTCAAGGTGTTTTGCTTTTTCGCAGTCCATTCCACCCATATGAAGGAAATGGTTCCCAAAGTGCCAAAAACCAGCAAAATGGCAAGTTGTCCATAGAGCACCAAGCTATCAGCATAAAAGAAACATACAGCAGCGCCAACGGACTGAAAAAAGTCGATTTCATTACCATATTTATATTAATAGATTAGGTTACCCGCTAGATAACAATCATTTTAGATACAACATATAATTTTTCTAAAAATAATGAGCAAAATCCGTTTAACAAGTTGTTCTTCCATTTAACCCCTAAAAATGTCGCTGTACTAAGGAAAAAATTATTTCGCCAGTCAAACTGAAATATTAGATGATAAATAATAATCTACGAATTGACAAGCCTGAAATGAAAAAGTGAGGTAATGAGGTTAGATTTGAAATCATGAAACTAAACTGACTTTAAATCATTGCACAGAGTGAGTCAACTTGGACATTTTCAAAGGTAAACTTCTGTTTTCAAACTAGCTAGATGAAAACTGATGACTGTGTCTGAGGATCAAATTTTATGGATAACTCAATGGTGCAAACTACATATCGGTATCTATCATCGTTTCTCACACTCTCTTATTGACGACAACTCCGGACACTCGCATAGAACATGCCTGGCAGTGTTCACACATCCTGCATAGAGGTGTGTCCACTAGCCCCATATTATGGAGGTCTTTCCTCAGTTGACAGTCAGAAAACCTACTGTTGAGCGTAGATTTTTCCTGGTTATCGCCAGATTTATATTTCTTCGGCGCCAGCTTCCCAGGGTCGTCCAGGATGATCCTAACTAGATTGCATCTTTCGATTCCATTCCATCTCCTTAGGGATTGAGCAAGGGTGTGATGTTTGGCTAGTTCAGCAATTGTCGAAGTCATAAGGCCGTAGGTGTCACTGGGTCCTAAAATTCTTAGTCCAGCCGCTTCCTTGGCTAACAAGTCAATGCGGTGCCTTTCAACCCATCTCAGGATGGGTTTAGCCTACCGAGGCTTTGGCTAAATTTTGGTGGCACTCTAGTACTAGCCCTGAGATAACACACTGTATGTTCAAGGCTAATAAGGCTTATCTACTATCTGTGCAGATTGTTATGTTTTTGCCAGAAATTCCTTTCCTGGTTATTTCTTTTGTGGCGATTGTGATTTCAGCCAGTTCTGTTTGGACCACGCTGGTATTTCTTCTCATTCCCCACTTAATCCTTAGGCTTAGTGATCTGGAGCACACTTCACATCCTGAGCCTTCTTTGGTTTTTAAGCCATCTGTATATATGCTTATTGCATTTGTAGCATCTGACTCTGTGATCTGTTTTATTTGTATTTTGTAGGGTTTATTAAACACAAATCTGGGTTCAATTGCATCACTGGCTGTCTACAGCAGAGGTTGCGCAGAGGTTCTCGTCATAGGCTCAGCCTCAATTGACCCATTCCTACTTCGAGGTTTACACCAGCCGTGCTCAATCGTAACATGGCCATTAACGCAACCTCCTTAACATAAAGGTCCAGAAGGGTCAGGTCAGTAATTAATTCCATTGCCGCCGTTGCTGTTGTTCTCATGGCTCCTGTGATGTTCAAAAAAGCCAATCGCTGTATTTGATATAATTTTTGAATGGTCGTTGCTTATAGAACTTTCGGTCCCCATACAATGGCTCCGTACGTTAACATAGGTCTTATTATTGCAGTGTAGATCCAGGTGACCACACATGGTGAAAGACCCCATGCGCGTCCCACTGTCCTTCGACATTGCTCATAAGCCACATAAGGTCCTTTTTGCTCTACTCTGTAGGTGAGAATTTCATGTTAGCTTCCAAGGTACCAAGGTATTTCACCTCTTCACAGAAGTTTAGTTTGCTTTTGAAGAATTTGGAAGATTTTAAGCCCTAGAGCTTTGGTGTAGTAATGAATATTACTAGAGTTCTACCTCAATACCAAACCGTTAATTTTAACACCTCGACACGTGTTTCAGTCACCAAGTGGTCATCTTCAACAGAAGGATTAAAACTAGTAGTTTTGGTTTGGCCAATATGAAGTTTTGGGGAAGAACCACAAATCAACTCATTTGATTTGAAGTTTTATCACCAAGTGGTCATCTTCAACAGAAGAAAGAACTTCCTCAATCTTCCTCTGGAAGATGACCACTTAGTGATTGAAACACGAGTCGAGGTGTTGAAAGTAACGGTCGTGCTCAACTCGTCTTGCGTTTTGCGATTGTTCCAGTTTTCGCGCCGCTTCGAAATACTTCCAGCGACTTCCCTTCGATAATAGTTCTATCGGCTTCCTAAGACCTTCATTGGGATAGATAAACACTACCCACTCGCATCCGGGAATTCTAATTGACGGTGCGGTGCGAAGTGTTTTAATAAAGCCATAGATATTTGAATATTGGTTTGAAGTTTTAGTTGAAGTGTTTGGTTTTATTGTCAGTATAGCAGCGAAATAAAGTTAAGTTCAATTGTACAGTATAGTCAATCATTGTCAAACCCACGGGGCAAACGTAACAACATAGTATTGATTTACTATCGTTACCTATTTGTGTATTTTTTCTAGGTATTTTTTATTTTGTATTTCAACTTGTAAATGCACCTTGTATACCTGAACAATAATAAATATTTTTATTATGATTACCTGTGTGAACTTGAATATGGCAAATGCTGGGGCACTTTTGTCAGCATACACCGAACCCAGCAAAGAATATATTTGAGTATTGTAACAGGAATCACCGAATCCCAACAAGAAAGAACAAAATATTGCCAAAATGGCGTTGCTGGTCATGAAGGCACTTTCATTCGTATCATTGAAGGGAGAACTGTTGGGCAAGTTCAGGAAGATCAGGAAGTAACTGACGGCGTGTATTATGAACGCACCTCCCACAATTGGATCTCTGCCCCATTTCGTGGTTTTGCTACCTAGGATGCCAAAAAGTGCTCCACCTGAAACAAAAAGAAGTTCAGTGATATCAGGAAACTCTCCAAGATGTATCTTCTGGAAACATTATTCCCTGACCAGTTCACTAACTGTTTTTACTAGCAGCATTAGGGTATGGCAATAGACGTCCTTTGCTAATATGTTCATGAGCAGAATTAAAATAGAAGCAAGAGACGAGTTGGAGTACTTTCCACGAACTTGGATCCGGCACGTGGATGATTCGCCATTTTCGACACGAGTAATGTAGAATTTTGTGACTTATTTCAACAATAGTTTAACAAATATAAAGTTCACGTATGAAATTGAAATTAACGAAGAGTATCCACACTTGGATGTTCTATAGCATCCGTCACTAAGCACTTCCTATCTCTAAATTCAAATAAAACAAAGTGTGTGTGAGATATCATAAAAAAATTGTATTCGTTTGAAAGACATATTGATGCCATTATGTGTGAAATATAACATTGTTCAAATGTCCGTCACGGCTTCTCCGGGTGGAGAGCTGGGGTTTGTGGCTTATTCGCATATACCTGCTACTCAAGAAAATCCCAAAAGAAAACAACGGAGCCAAATTGTACGATCTCGGTGGCCTCCACGTGAGATTACCATGCCCTCAAATCGCACGTATCCAATGCGGCATGAGCTGTGTGGCACATAGCGCTGACCTGTTTGAATCACATGTCATTGGTGTCCAAGACATCCAATTCGGATGAAAAGGAGTTGGTAATTATCGACCTACAGTACTCGACGTTGACAGTTGGGCAACATCGTCTTAAAAAAAATTGGATCGATGACGCCGGCACGCGCCACACCAAATAGCGACTTTTTCGGGATGCATGGGACCCTCTTAGGTCACATGTGGATTGGTATCGCCCAAATTTGACAACTTTGTTTGTTCACGTACCCATTTATTCAGAAATGGGCCTCATCGTCATCGTTTTCTATGACCGTTGGTATGGCGTTGGTCGGTCATATACTGAACCACAAGACTCAAATTTGTCCACCACATTGTTTAATGCTATATACGTCCATGGTAACTTGACAAAACAGATTGAATAAATGACAACTAATTTGATAAATGTAATCCCAAAAAGATGCCATTTCGAAAGACCATATAGTTACACGAAATATCGATGAAGGTTTAGAATTTCATGTATCTTGTAGGAATACTAGTACTTTTAGTTATATTCCTGGCAGCTCTCACCATCATCCACAACAAAAATTGACGGGACTACATTTTCTCGTGTATACGTTGGCCACGTTCCTCTTGAGCAAAGAAAGATATGATATTCATATTGAAATTGTCAAGGAAATAGCAAAATGTTTCAGTTATCTTTCAAACATAGTAGATAAGATAATTAGGAAAAGAACATGTATAGTGTCTCCCGTGGGTTGAGCTACCTATCGGGCACGTCCCCAGCTGGTGGATAGGAGAACGGCCAGGGGACTGGAGGCCCTGTCCGGGAAGTCAACGGACGGGGTCGCTGGACTCCTGGTCAGTGGCAGAAATAAGTAGGGTGAGGGGAACTAAAACTCCCCAGAAGCCTTTGCGAAACATGCCACTGTGGACCAGCCTACCCAAGCTAAGGTGTAAGGAATCGTGCCGACAGCTGAATGGCCGCAGGGTGATATGCGGTTATGAACGATCCCCTTGGGGAACTGAGCGAAACCTCACTCTAATCAGCCTACACAAAAATAGAAACAACAAAAACAAAAGCCAATTCCGAGGCAGGACACAAGTGCTCACCTCAATCTAAGGCGGTGGCTGGGGACGAACACAAATGCCCACCCCAATCTACCGCTTGGAATGAGGCGTAAGCTTATTTGCGGTGCCGAGGCCAAAAGGAGAAAGAGAGCGAAAGAGAAAGGAGTGCGCTCCAACTCCAATAGCAAGGGCACTTCCTGCGGCGGGCGGCCACAGCTCCTCCTTGAATGAAGGCAAGGAACCGGCTGCCCCTGCAGGAAAGCTCCCTCACTTGTGCACTTACACGGAGGAAACCCCAAGTAGGTTGAAGAAGATGTGCAACGACAGTAATGTTGCTGCCGTGAGACACCTCAAGGTTGCCAAAGAGTGTGTGTGTTCCAATATAAAGGAGATGTCTCCTAGTGAAAGTAGATGTCTCTTAGTGACCTGCCCACCTTCCTGGAAAGGACAGGAAGGACTATGACCTAGGAGGACAACTCCTCGGGTGTACAATGGGCCACATGTGGCCTCAGTGCTGTGGGTACACACTCATCCTCCCTACTCTACATATACAGATGTATAGTGTCGTAATTCCTTGTCCTTTCGGAAAAATTACTCAAAGTTTATATTTCTTCCATACAAACCAAAATACAACAACTGGTCGGTTGAAACTTTATAAAAATTGAATATGAAAGTGGCTTTCAAAACTGCTTATACAATTAAACAAGTGTTGGGCAATCCGAAAGATGAGACGACGGAATTTACGAAATGAGCTGTGGGGATTGCGATGAAAAATATGTTGGTCAAACAAATAATACTATATTAGCTCGCTACATGGTAGCTGTTGCATATATTCTGTTTCATAGACCAGAGAGTAGGGCCACAGAAAGAGAGGAATGCATGAAATTGTTGAGACTGATACATGGCATGACAAGTTTTTACATGCCTTCGAAGTTTAGAAATCGAAAAATGTTGAAAAATATTCATTCCTAACATTCACAACGCATTATCACGTGATTACATATAGAAAACAGATAAAGACTAGATATCAATCATGTATCAAATAATATTAAACAGCGCTTTTCTTTAATCTCGCCCCTCCTTTTATTTTTTGGACCTGTCAACTCAAAAAATCGAAATTTTGATAATGAAATTAATGCATGAATACTTTATTTTGAAGTGAAATTGACATATGAAACTATCAAGATGGTGACTGGGCGCAGTTGAGGTAATAAGCTTGATGTTCAGTACTGACATTTTTTGTCGTTTTTATTAAAAAAAGAACTTAACAAACCTTACCGGGTTGTTGAAATTGCCATATAGCAGATAAAAACGAATATTTCTAGAAATATCAATATTAATGTGTTTGTCATCAGGAAATTATTAAATGTTCCGCCATTTTGTAGTGAGTGGATATATTGACTTCATATTCTAGGGTTGTGAAGTACTCGTTAGGAACTTCAGAATAGAGGGGTCACAAGAACCCTCTTTCTATTTGATTTTTCCCCAGATGGCGCCCAGTCGCCATCTTGAAAGTTTCATTCTGTAGAATCGTAGGAGGCGGTTCTCCAGAGACAAGTACAAGAAAAATTAGTCAAATTTTAAATGTGAGTCACATGACAGTTTACAGAATTTTAAAGGAACAGCAATTATATCCTTATCATATTCAGCGTGTCCAGGCACTTACGCTAAGTGATTTCCAACCACGTATCGATTTTGATCAATGGATTCAAAGAAAAGTCGAACAACATCAAGTACTTCTCTGGTTTTTCACATTTTGTCTTCAATCGAGGACCGCCTGCCCGGTACTGACGATGCCCAATAGGCTGAAACAGCTGTCTACCGGTGGTGTATATATCTACATTTTAATTATATCTAATATCATTATTTTAACTACACTATTACATTTTATAGATCAGACTCATGTTTCAGTAGTATACCCATGTACAAGGTTTCACCTTTTATGGGTTTTCTATTTTATTTGTTATTATTGTTACTCACTCTGTTGGACATCTAAATATCATGGACAAAAATTATTATTCATTTGTTTTTACGTCTATATCAGCAGATGTATAAAGCTTCAGTCAAGCTAATGCCATCAATGTAATTTATGAAAAACAAAAATGGACCCTAGAAGAGACTCCTGACTCAAATGACGCGAAAATGCGACACTTATAACCAAATTTCATTCTGAGTGGAATCAATATTACTTCAGCTGACGTTGGAACAGTAATCAAAGATGACGAATATTCAGCTTCGAATATAAAATCCCTTTCGAAATCATGAGAAAATATTTTTAATTCAAACCACGACGGCAAACTCTCGCAGACTTGAAAGTTGTAATTAGATATGTACCCTCTGGAACTGTCAAATAACGGCCATATTGTGCCACGTGCGGCGAATATTCCACTCCAACTTTGTGAATTTCTTCTTTATTTATGTACAAGTCATTCTATGCATCTATTCCTTCCATTTATTATTTAATCAATTTATTTGCATGGCTTTCGAAACCAACAAACGAGTGAGGACGATTGCTCCTTGAAGTTTGAATAATTCATACATACAAATAACTTATCGAAGAAAAATATTCTCTCCAGACTCCTGTTCGGAAAATTCATTTGAATTCGTAGTCGAGACGAAGCAATAAGGAAATGTTCCAAGTCATAACTTCCTACTGAGGAGTCCTGAAAAATCCGAGGTGCATTATAGATGTGGAGTACGTTCATATTTTGCATTTTTTTAAATTTTAGGCTACAGAGTTGAACAGTTCCATCTTCAATTTATTCATCACCCAAGTATAGTCGAAGTAACCTTTATTGTGAATACTTAAAGTATCGGCGTTCTCAAAGGCCAAAAAAACCAATACAGAGAAATAATACCGATGCGAACTAGTCCACGTGGACTGCAGAATTGGCGGTTCGTATTGGATAATTTTTGCTAACCGAGTTTTATGATTGGTTGAAGTCATGTTACGGTGAATCGGGGAAGGTTATCGCCGTCGTGTTCAGTTCAGGAACTAATCGCGATTTGAGTGTTGAAATTCGTAAACTCCATTAGGTTTTTACTAAACTTCAGGTTTTTTACTCAACTTATAGTTTTTGAAAGTAAACTTCAGGGTTTTTAACTCAACTTCAGGGTTTTTACAAAACGTTACTTTTTTTACTTAACTTAAGGTTGCTTACTGCAAAATAGGTTTTTTACAAAACTTCTGGTTTTAACTAAACTTCAGATTTTTTCCAAGTCTCTAGGTTTTGCCTTACTTCAGTTTTTTACTAAACATCAGGGTTTTTACAGTAAACTTCAGGGTTTTTAACTCAACTT